TCTGGAGGGTGACGGGTAGAGGAACTGTAACCCAGAAGGATACGATCTTCCGAACGTTTGCCAAAACCTCACGTAGGTTTTCCAAACTCCAGAACATTTTTTTTTTAGTTGTTTGCCATGCTTTATATCAAAAAGAAAGGTTTCTGGTACACTATTTTGTGTGGTCTGGTCAAATGTTTTCTCCTTCAAGTCTCCCATGTTCCATTACGCTTTCAGTTTGAAGGTTTCTGACATTTGTGCAGGTCATTAACCTGCATTGGCCGTTGATTTTTCCCAACTGCCTTTTACAGAGTAGGATTATTGACTTAAGCAATGCCTGGTTCTGCCATTCCCTTGTTAGAACAGAACGAGTCTGAAAGTACATGCAAGACCCCTAAACCCAGGTCAGACACTGCAAATGTCCACACCAACTAAGTACTGAGGTGTGGTTAGAAACAGAAACGGGAGGGGGCCATGCAACCCCTCGAGCTTGTTCCGCCATTCTATTAGATCATGATCCAGTTACCCTCCCTTGCCCCCGTATCCCTTAATACCCTGACCTAACGATAGAGTACAGTTCCTTTACTTATATCTAGGCCCGGTTATTAATTCTATTGCTAGGTTGACGTTGTTCCAGATGTATGATTGAAACTCGATTAACGTGTCAAGTTTACATATAAATCGGTAATAATTGGGGAGTTTTTAAACCCTTTAACAAATCGCTGATTTTTTTAAAATGATATTAATCATCCTTGCATTTTGATATAGCGCCTTAGGTCTTCCATACGTTTCAAAGCACTTCACAAAATCATACTGTAAAGTCGATTGACTATATATTTTGGGGGGCAAAGTATTTTGTGATATCAAGCCGTTGAGGAATCTAGCCCAAGGCCGCTCCAGTCCTGTTTTCTTCCCGATTTATGGCTGTTGTAGAGCAGCAAAGGAATACTAAGCACGCAGATGATGGAATGTCAGCATTTATGGCTCTATTTCTGGCTCCTGGACTTTCGGCGGTGGCGAGGGAGTGTTTGTAGAACTCAGGCAAGACTGATCAGCGGCAACGGGGAAGGGGGTAGGGGAGGGTAGGTCGGTCAGCCTAGTAGTAACCGCAAACCATGGCTGCCTGGCTTCCAGTCCGCAATATTTCGTTGCCGTCTCCAGAGATGTTTCGTGAAACGATCCGCGTAGGTACTCGCAGGGCTTCGGGACGGCTCGCCTCTTCCACTTTTACAGAACTCCTGCCAAAGTCGGAGCGGTTGGTTAGCAGCGGCGGCCCTGTGCGGGGAATAAAGTGACAGTTCTGTGCTCTGTTGAGTTTCTGACAATAATCGACCTTCTGTTTTTGTGGTGTGGGGCTGGGGGGGACGTGGACTTGGGTGCAGCAGATCCGTGCGGCAGTAGGACATTTACCGAGAGAGCAGGGATAGGAATCTGGAGTGCAAGTCAGCTTGTTCTGTATGTGCTGGCTTGGGAAGCAGCCAGTTCTGTGTGTGTGTGTGTGTGGTGCGCGTGTGTTCTCTTTGTTGGGAAACTGCAGGACAACTGCACACATGAAAGATTTAGAGAGCAAAGTGTGTTCTTGGCCGACCGTCCTCCACGTTAAAAGTACTTTTATCCAAGTTTTTGTCACTTTGAAGTACCCGATTCCATTTAATTTTGTTCAGGAATGAACCTTTCGTAGGAAATTAGGGTTTCAAGCACTTGCACGAGCCACTTGTTTATAGCTGAACGTTTAAACAACGAGAGGATTAGTTATTGGCTATTTCTGGATATTTTCTGAAAAGCTGCCATGTTTCTTTCAAACCTGCTGATTTTGGGTGCTCTTTGGTAAACCTACTGAATTTATAGTAATAGAAATAATAGTAATCCTTGCATTTGATGTAACACCTTATCAAGTCATTGAGACGTCTCAAAGTGCTTCACAGAATATACTGTGATATATATATATAATAATCCTTACATTTGATATAGCGCCGTAATATAGTCGCCGAGAAGTCGCAAAGCTCTTCGCAGAATATACTGTAAAATGGATTGACTGTATATTTTGTGGGCGAAAATAAGTTAGCAAAATGGAACAGCAACGCCACAAAACCAGTCAAGCGCTGAATTTACGAATCAAATGGGAATGAAAACAATCTCCTCCCTTGAGCACGTTTCAGTTCAACAATTCCCAAGAGTGGTGAATCACACTTTTTTAACAGGTGTGTATTATCGTGCTCATAATTTTCAGTATGAACCCAACCCTATTAACATATCTCACCTCCGAACGAAGAGCTTTGCGAATGACGTAAAAAGGTTGGAGGAGCTTTCTCAAACTGGTTTACAAAGTGATGGCCTTGTAATGTTCTCCTCTGTTTCACGCTGTGCTGTACATCGTTCACTAGTAACCGTAACGTCACCGTAAGATTTTCCAAAGAGAATTCCACGAATCCCATCTTCACGTGGAAAGCCCAGAGATAAGAGTGTTGGAACGGAATACGCTCTCTCTCTCTCTCTCTCGCTGGAGGGATGCATCGTGTTTACCTAATTCCGGAGAGTATTAGGCGCAGGTCGGCAAGAGCTAAGGCTTCAGTGACTTATAGGTTGAAATTTTAGATCCACTATTAACACATAATATCGCGACATGTTTTTAAAAAAGTTACCGATCGAATATCAACACATAATATTGTGACACTCTTTTAAGAAAAAGTTACCGATCGAATAGTAACACATAATATTGTGACACTTTTTTAAAAACAAGTCCTCCATTGACTTTGTAAGAAAAAAATAATTTCCTTTGTCTTATATCCTCACCCGTGAATTGTACTGCAGCCATATCGTACGTGGTGTGTGGCCTGAATAATCTCCAGCGATAGGAAAACGTGTTGCTTCTGTCCCAGTTTAAATGCAATGATGCGTCATCTCAAAGCAGGCCTTGAAAATTCACCGTCGCTTGGAAACGAAATGAAATGAAATGTAGTTCTTGATGCGTAGATGAGGGAGGAAGGAATAGAGGGGGATATCGGTGAGGGGTATGGAACGGGTGGAGCTTGTGTGGAGCATAAACACCAGCACAGACTGGTTATGCCGAATAAGTAGCCTTTTTCCGTGCCGTCATCACTCTTTAACTATTAAGCGCTTTGGGACGTTACCCTGCCGGTGAGGGTGGCCACTAGATAAATGCAACTTGTTGTAACTGTATGTAACCCGCGGTTCGTGTCTTTTACACTGTTCTTCTGAGATCTTTATTCCACAAGTCGTTTTCATTTTTTATCCTTGAGAAGGAAAAATGTGCGAGGCTATGGGGTACGAGAGGGGGAGTGGGGACTAGTTGGGGTAAGAGCGGGGAGTGGGGACTAGTTATGGGTACGAGAGGGGGGAGTGGGGACTTGTTGGCGTAAGAGTGGGGGAGGTGGGGCCTTGTTGGCGTAAGAGTGGGGGAGTGGGGCCTTGTTGGCGTAAGAGTGGGGGAGTGGGGCCTAGTTGGGTAAGAGAGGGGGAGTGGGCGGACTCGTTGGGGTAAGAGAGGGGGAGTGGGGACTGGTTGGGGGTAAGAGTAGGGGGAGTGGGGACTCGTTGGGGTAAGAGAGGGGGAGTGGGGACTGGGTGGGGTAAGAGAGGGGATGTGGGGACTGGTTGGGGTAAGGAGGGGGAGTGGGGACTGGTTGGGGTAAGAGAGGGGGGAGTGGGAGGTTGGGGTAGGAGGGGGGGGACTGGTTGGGGTAAGAGAGGGGGAGTGGGGACTGGTTGGGGTAAGAGAGGGGGAGTGGGGACTCGTTGGGGTAAGAGAGGGGGAGTGTGGGGACTCGTTGGGGTAAGAGCGGGGGAGTGGGGACTGGTTGGGGTACGAGCGGGGGAGTGGGACAGGCAGGATGAGCCGAATGGTCTCCTACCTGTAAGATTCTGTGATTCTATTTTGCTTCTCGTCAGCAGAATTGAAATCGCTTTCCAGCCCCAGCGGCCCTGGGGGTACTGCTGTGTGTGTTGGTGAAAATTATTTCATTAAAATTAGGGCAAAGTATAATAACAATCCTTGCATTTGATATAGCGCCTTATCAGGTCTTTGAGACGTCTCAAAGAGCTTCACAGTAAAGTGTAGTGACTGTATATTTTGTGGGCGGAACAAAGCCCATTATAAGCAAAGTTGTGGTGGAAAAAATTATCCGACTTAATCTCTTTACAAATTATCTCAACGTGGGTGTGTAGGAGAGCTAAGTTACTGCTGGAAATTAGAGAAGAGTCGCAGTTGGTTGTGCAGTTGGTTTGGGACCACATTCTAAAACCGACCAACATTCTCGGCGGATTCCCCTTTCCCAGAATCCAGAACCGGAGGGGAAACGAGGAGAAACCCTTTCATGCCAGAGGGTTGTTACGGTCTGGAACGCACTGTCTTGCGAGGCTGGTGGAAGCAGATTCGAAAACAGCCGTCAAAAGGGAATTGGATACGTACTTGAAAAGGAAAAATTTGCAGGGCCGGGCGGTAAGGAGCGGGGGAAGTAAGATGGGAGTTTGGTAGCTCTTTTCACACAAAAAATTGTGTTTGTAATCGAAAACTATTTTCCTTATTGGGAGGTGAGCTAGTAAGTAACTGGAACGCTCTTCCTCTATCCCTCCGCCTTGCCCCATCCCGACCCCATCTTCAGGTCGAGCCCGAAGACCGTCCTCTTCGGCCGCGCCTACGGACACCTCCCCTCGGTTGGCACCTTGCGTAAGCGAGGGGAGCTGTGTATATACAAGCTGTTGGGAGCGGAATCTCTGTGGGGTTGAGCTGCTGTTGAGAAGACTTGTTTTGGTTTGAGCTTTTTTTTACAGCAGAATTGTGCCAACTATAAATATTAAACCTAGTACAATAAAATCCTTACCTTGGGTGAGGTGCCTTTAACGTCGGGAGGAAGCTCTTGATTATGCAGCATCGTTCATGATGAAGCCTTCTTAGGTCACTGGATTTTTTTGGGTCATATTGGCTTCCAAGATGTGTTAAGCGGATTTATTTCACCTCGCTTCACAGCGCTGAATGATTTTGCTGTTCTTTGGTAACGCAGGGAAGAAGGGGAGTTGGAGGAGGGAGAGTTGGAAGATGATAGCGAGGTTCAGGACAATTCCCAGGAGAAATGCAAGAAAGAGAAGCCCGAGAAGGAGGATGAGGACGAGGATAAAGATAAGGACAAAGGCCACCGGAGGCTGAAGAGAAAGAGGAAGAAAGAGCGTGAAAAAGAAAAGAAGAGATCCAAAAAGAAACGAAAATCAAAGCACAAGGTATTCAGCCCTAAATCCATTTTACAGTATATTCTGTGAAGAGCTTTGAGATGTCTCAATGACGTGAAAAGGCGCCATATCTAATGAAAGGACGATGATTATTATTAATGGACAGGGAAAGGAAAGGGGAGAAAGTAAATTTTTAAGGGCATGTGATGGGTGAAAATGGTGTCAATGATTGATGATGTGACAATTTGTTAGGTTGTTCAGTTACAGTGCTTTAAAGCACGTTAATGTTTTTTATTTTAACTCTTTTGCTCCTGTTGTCCTTGCCAGAGACACGTGTCTTCCAGCGATGATTACTCTGATTTCAGTGATGAGTCTGATTACAGCCCTGAGGAGAAGGGTTACCGGAAATACCGTGAATACAGCCCTCCGTATACACAGGTAAGGCAGCAGCAGCATTAATTCTGTCCTCTCTTTGTTCTGGAATCAATTTCTGTACTTGAAATGAAACACCTATGATACACATCCATTTGGAGAACTATTTTGTGCGGGTGTCAGATTGGCTCAGTCAGTCAGTAGCTCTGGGCCGGTAGGTTGTGCGTTCACAGTCCAGGCTAACAATCTCTGGAGTCCCTGAAAAAATAAATTAAATAATAATAATTTGTCACTCAATTCCACGAGTGTTTGTGGGACGCTGCTGCGCGCAATTCGCTGCCGCGCTTTGCCCACAAAATATAAAGTCAATTCACTTCACAGTGTGTCCTGTGAAGCGCTTTGAGACGTCTCGGAGGCGTGATAAGGTGCTAAAACAAATGGAAGGATTATTATTATTATTATTATTCAGTTGAGCAGAACCTGAAGCCTTTGTGCCTGTCTCTGTGTTTTGCTAGTTACCTGTAATTCCTCGACCTGTCTGAGTTACTCTGCGGGTTGTGTTCTGTTCTGTTCTATTCTATTCAACTCAGCCCCCATATCCCCAGCCCCCTCCGCCAAAGAAAGTCTACATGAAAGCTGAGAAGGCAAACTACAAAGCCTACGAGGAGTACAAGGACGAGCAGTATGGCGAATATGAGGCCGAGGAGGAACCTGTGCCTGACGGACAAGGCCAAGGATATGACGACTTTGCCAAAGAGCTGCACCAGTACAGAAAGGCAAAGGAGGCTTCCCAACTCACCGGCCACCGCAGCAGCAGCCCCACATGCCGATGCCACACAGGGGCCGTGGGATGTCAGGTGGGTTTACTCGCCAGTCCTCTCTCCTCCACAAGGCAGAGCCCGTTACTACAGTACAGTTCCCGAACCCAAATGGTCTTTTCCCAGACTGTGAACTGTTCTCAGGCTAGTCAATTGTGGGGAGGTGCAGCCAAGTCTAATCTCGTCCTCGCCACGAAAGGACCTGTTCTGGCAGCATTAACTGACTTTTCCAGTCTGGGTACTTGATAGGACAGGTACTTGATAGGCATTTGAAAAGGAAAAATTTGCAGGGGTATGGGGATAAAGAGTGGGGGAGTGGGACTAGTTGGTAGCTCTTTCAAAGAGCTGGCACAGGCATGATGGGCTGAATGGCCTCCTTCTGTCCTGTAATGTTCTATGATTCTACGATCTCCAGCCCGATTGTAGTTGCTTTCTCATTGAGCCCAAACACTTTCCTGCTCCGTGTAAATCTGTACAACATCACGCCAGGCCCTGCTTAATACAAATGAATCGGGGGGGGTGGTGGTTTTGTTCAATTCACCCAGCGTCCGGGGTTAATAGGCGTCCAACTGAAGTGGTGTCCACTATAATTGTAAAACTCTTACTCCTTTGTAAGAGGAATGGCTCCGGCCACCAGTTTGTCCCTCGGGCCCTCAGCTCCACCATCGACGGCCATGCCTTTGGCCACTACGCTCCAAAACACTGGAGCTCTCCCCTCGATCCCTCCGCTTTGCCCCCCCCCTCCCTCCCCACTATCAAATCCCGCCTAAAGATCTTCCTTTTTGATCATGCTTACGGTCACCTCCCCTCTCCCTCCCTCTCCCTCCTGGCTCAGGGGCCAGACTCTGCCACTGTCAAGTGCTCCGGGGCGCTACCCCGCCTGAAGGGCACTGTGTAAATGCAAGTTGTTGTTGTTGTTCCTTTATGGTGAACCAAAACTTTTGTACTCTTGCTGCAGGGCCAGGGAGAGGCGGAGGAAGGGGACGTGGGGTGCGAGGAAGAGGTGGACGGGGAAGGGCCAGGGGGCGCGGAGGAAGAGGAGGCAGAGGAGGATGGGGGCAAGGGCATGGTCACGGACCCCCAGATCACGAGCCCAGCCGAGAACACGAGCCTGGACCGGAGCTCGGACCACCAGATCACGGCCCCCAGGATCACGGCCCCCCAGATCACAGGCCCCCAAGGCATGGCCCCCCAGAACACAGATCCCCAGATCATAGACCCCCAGGACGGGGACGCCCGGAGCGAGGGTCTAGTCCTGAATACGGCGCCCCAGATCACGGTCCCCCAGATCATGGACCACCAGATCATGGACCACCAGAACACAGACCCCCAAGGCACGGTCCGCCAAGGCACGGCCCACCAGAACATGGGCCTGGAACAGAATACGGACTCCCAGAACCGAGATCCCCAGAACACAGACCCCTGAGGCATGGTCCCCCAGAACATAGACCCCCAGGACGTGGACGCCCAGAGCGTGGGCCTAGTCCAGAATATGGACCCCCAGGATACGGACCGCCAATACAGGGTCCCCCAGAACTCGGGACAGAGCACAGACCTCCAGAACACAGACCCCAGAGCACAGACCTCCAGTGCACGGCCCCCCAGAACATGGGCCTGGAACAGAATATGGACCCCCAGAACAGAGATCCCCAGGATACGGACCACCGGACCTCAGACCCCCCGACCACCGCCCCCCCGATCATGGGCCGGGACACGGACCTCCTGAACTCGGCCCCCCAGAGCATGGCCCCCCAGGGTATGGGCCCCCAGGACACCGGCCCCCAAAACACAGACCTGGACCAGAATATGGACCCCCGGGGTTCGGGCCCCCAGAGCTCGGGCCCCTAGGGTACGGCCCCCCAGATCGCAGACACGGCCCCCCCGAGCACGGCCCGCCAGAACACGGCCCGCCAGAACATGGACCAGAACACGGCCCCCCAGGGTACGGCCCCCAGATCATGGACCAGAATACGGACCCCCAGAGTACGGCCCCCCAGAACACGGGCCCCTAGGGTACGGACCCCCAGATCGCAGACACGGACCCCCAGAGCACGGACCCCCAGAGCATGGACCACCAGGATATGGGCCCCCAGAATACGGACCAGAACACGGGCCACCAGATTTCGGACCCCCAGAATACGGACCCCCAGAGCATGGCCCCCCAGAACATAGACCCCCAGGCCGAGGGCGTCCAGGGCGTGGCCCCCCAGCCTACGGGCCACCAGAACATGGGCCCCCAGAATACGGACCCCCAGGGTTTGGACCTCCAGACCACAGACACGGCCCCCGAGAGCACGGCCCCGAGAGCACGGCCCCGCGAGCACGGCCCCCGCGAGCACGGCCCCCGGGAGCACGGCCCCCGGGAGCACGGGCCCCGGGAGCACGGCCCCCGGGAGCATGGCCCCCGGGAGCACGGGCCCCGCGAGCACGGCCCCCGGGAGCACGGGCCCCCGGAATACGGCCCCCCAGATTATGGCCCCCCTGATTATGGCCCCCCGGATTACGGCCCCCCGGATTATGGCCCGCCCGATTACGGTCCCCCAGAATACGGACCCCCAGAATACGGACCCCCAGAACACGGCCCTCCAGAGTACGGACTCCCAGAATATGGGCCCCCAGAACACGGGCCCCCAGGTTACGGGCGACCAGACCATGGCCCCCCAGAACATAGGCCCCCAGGCCACAGACATGGAGGTCACAGACCCCCCCGGTACAGACCACGAGGCCACGGACCAGGGCGCCGACCCCCAAAACGCAGGGCCGGACCTGACTACGGACCCCCAGACTACGGGCCTCCAGACTATGGACCCCCGGGGCACTGGCCCCCGGAACATGGCCCCCCCGGACCCGATCACTGGCCCCCGGGGCATGGGCCCCCAGGTTACCCCCCGCCCGGCCATGGACCCCCAGGTTACTCGCCCCCGGGGGATTGGCAAGAGCACGACGGGCATCCAATGGGGAGACCACCGATGCGCTTCAGGGAACCGATGGATGATTGCGAAGATGACTTCTACGACGACATGGAGGTAAGAGGCATTGGATCCGAAATCCGTTCCGTTGCAAGCATCCGGCTGACAGAAGTCGCCGGGAACGCTCAGCGGGTCAGGCAGCATCCATGGAGAGAGGAAAGGGAGTCGCTGACCCGCTGAGTGTTCCCGACGGCCTCCGTTGTGGTTTCAGGTTTCCTGCATCTGCGTTGTTTTGTTTACACTCTACGTCAAACTGATTTTAAACCGGAGGGTTCGGGGCGCTGTATCAGTGCGAGTTGTTGTTATACCTTCCATTCCCCCCCAACCCCACCCCCCCCGTTAATTTTTCCCCCCCCCCCAGATGTTAGTTAAACTGACAATACAGTGTAAACTTACATTTGTAGCGTAGAGCAGGAGGATGTCCCAAGGCACTGATGCAGTTGTTAGTCGCTTTTCCGGGGGCAATAATCCCCTCAAAAAAAATTATAATCATTTGGTGACTCAATCCACGACTGCTGTGTCCCACAATTATTTTGTTTCTCTCTGCACCAGCCCCCCACACCCACCCCCACCCCCCCCAACCCGTGGAAATCTTTTATACCAGTGAAGCGTATCCAGTGAACAACTTCATTCGCGTGCAGGGTGATTCCAACCGGGGCCCCCGCCAGCCTCCCATTTCACCTTGCCCACCCCACTCCCTCCATAACCCCGATATGTTATGTTTCTGGAAGGGAAACCCAAAAATATTGCTTATGCAAGCCGAAGGGTTGGGTAACATCTCTGAGCGCTTAACACAATTGAAGTCGATAACACACCCTCTCGCTGTGTCTGTCTGTCTGGTTAGGACCCAGAGGATGAGAGGCGTATGAGAAACAGACATGACTTCCCACCTCAGTCCTGTGGGGAGAAGAAAGGGAAAGTACTCTGCAAGTTCTTTGTGGAGGGAAGATGCACAAAGGTGAGAAATTTGATGAGGGACAACATTGGGCTTGTTTGGTGCCTGAAAGCAGCGGCGAGACTTCCCCGCGGTTTCCAACCTTCCAGTGACTTTACGCAAGGTCTAGGTTTTTCATCAGTGTCGCTTTTCAACTTGCCGCTGGCCCTAGGATCAAAACAGATCACTGCTGTGTGGCTCCCGGCTGGTCCCCAAAGAAAAACAATTCACCTGTTTTTGTCTCCCGTGTCCTGCAGCTCAGTGGTTAGACCCCTCGCCTCGCAAGCGAGAGGACCCGGGTTCGATTCCCGGGCGGGTCAGGGCAAAACCTTAGGCAAGTTTCCTTACTCCGCACACTTAGGAACCCGGTCGTTACTCGATTGGCAGATCGATTTCCGCGGTTAATAATCCATTAAAAAAAAATAATGATTTGGTCACTCAATCCACGACTATTTGTAGGACGCAGTCACTGCACTCTGTAATGTATTCTGTGAAGCATTTTGAGATGCCTCGAAGACGTGATAAGGCACTATATCGAATGCAAGGATCATTATAATGATTATGTCCCTCAATTGCATGGAATTTAATGTCCCTGGAGCAATGCAGCCTGTTTGCCTTATTCCAGAGAGTATTAGACACAGGTTGGCAAGAGCCAAGGCTTGGGGTGGTGGGGGGAGGGAGCCCAGAGTGTGCGATGGGGTAACTGCTGGAGTCTAACCAGCTAAAACCATATAGCTTACCATTGAGACCACCCTCCCCGTTAGAGCTTAGTGTACAGGGTTAACCAGCTGAGTGGGAGGATTCCCTTCCCCAGTGACTGTATCTTTGACGTATCATATTCCAGGCCAAGCATTTATGTCTTGACGGCAGTGGCTGCAGTGCTGGTGATGGCAGGTTCCTCTCCCCACGGATCACATGTTGATGGTTTCCTTTGCTTTCACAGGGGGACCAGTGCACTTTCAGCCATGACTTGGGACCGCCCATGAAACGGGAACTCTGCAGGTTTTACTACAACGGCTTCTGTGCTAAAGCAGAAAATTGCTTATACATGCACGATATCCTTTCCCTCATCGTGTCTCCCGAGTGGTTCGGACTGTCGGCTCTCCGCGCAAAATGGATTGGGAGCGTGAACTTGCTGCTCGTCGGCTCCAGTGTAAACAGCGGAGTCCCTGTAGCTTAGTGGTTAGAGCGCTCGCCTCACAAGCGAGAGGACCCGGGTTCGATTCCCAGGCGGTTCAGGGTGAAACCTTAGGCTGATTTCCTTGCCCCACGCACACACACACGCGCCTCTGTTCACCTAGCGGTAAGTAGGAACCCGGTGGTTAGTCGATTGGAGGATCACTTTTCTGGCGGTAATAATCTCTTCCAAAAAAGGAATCAAATAATAAGAAATCGGTCACTCAATCCACGACAGTGTGTGGGTCACTGCTGTGCGCAATTGGCTGCCGTGCTTCACCCATAAAATATAGCCTCTGCACTTTACAGTGTATTCTGTGAAGCTCTTTGAGGCATCTGAATGCCGTGATAAGATGCTATCTCAAATGCAAGGATTATTATTACATGTTAGTATTTGTCGTTGCGAAGATTTGTGGCTTGGTTTTCCTTAACGAGTTGCCTCACATGAATTCCCGTGTAAATTTTTCCATACCACTGGAAACTGCTTCCAGGGAGATGAATGCAAGTTTTCACACGGGCCACTCACTGATGAGACACAGGAGCTGTTGGACAAGGTGAGGTCAATCATCTCCATTATTCTCCCTTGAGGCAGTGACCCAGGTTAGTATTTCCCCAAGTGGCTATTCCTCAGGTGTAGCCCAGTCAGTAAAAAAAAAATCACAACAGAATTGGTCACTCAATCCACGACCCTTTGTGGGACGCTGCCACGCGCAATTGGCTGCCGCCTTTCGCCCTCAAAATATACAGTCACTACGTTTTGCAGTGTATCCTGTGAAGCGCTTTGAGACGTCACGAAGATACTTGGCTCTCGCTTTCGAATCACTTCATACCCGGGCACCTCCTTACCTCTCCGACCTGCTCCACCCCACTCCACTACCCGCTGCCTCTTGCTCTGCTGTCTCCGGCCTCCTGTCTTGTTTGTCCCTCGTGCCCTCCATTCCACCATCGGCGGCCGTGTTTTCAGCCACTACGCCCCGAAACTCTGGAACCCTCTTCTCTATCCCTCCGCCTTGCCTCCTCCTTTCCCACCTTCAGCTCTGAGCCGCTACCGTGTGTGAGGGGCACTGTGTAAGTGCGAGTTGTTGTAATACCTTTCATTCTCCCCCGGTGACTTCTCCCCCCAGATGTTAGCCAGTGAGGCCGAGGCCGGTGCAGAGGATGAGAAGGAGGTGGAGGAGCTGAAGAAACAAGGCATCACTCCTTTACCCAAGCCTCCCCCTGGAGTAGGGCTGTTACCCACTCCACCCCGACCTTCTATGCCACCGCCTCCGAATGCCCCGAATCCTCGACCGTGCCCCCCCATGATGGGACCCCCACCCCCGGGACCTCCGCCCCCAGGCCCTCCTCCGCCGCCCGGACCCCCAGGCCCTCCTCCGCCACCCGGACCACCGTGTCAGAAGAAGATCCCCTCTCTCTTCGAGATTGTGGTTCAACCCACAAGACAACTGGCAAACAAGATCAGCAGGGGGTGAGTGAGGATGCTGTGTTTAACCCGGCCGACAATCTGTCACAGTAGCTGCAAGCATTTCACGGTAGTTTTGTACAGAGTTTGACTACGGCAATTATAGAACAGGAACAAATTAGATTGATTTCTGCTGGAAAAATAATATCTGGGGGGATACAGCGTACAGTTCAGTTTGGGACACGACATGTCAAGCGACTGCCAGGAGGGTGGAAGGCAAACTAGGTGGACCTTGGTCTTCTTTTGTCCAGCAAATTCTTATGGGTGCGTGTGTATGATTAACAGTAATTCAGAAGTGTACGTTTTTTTTTACTGGTTCACCTCTTCGAGACGTCTCAAAGCGTTTCACTGGATACACCGTAAAGTGAATTGACCGTATATTTTGTGGGTGAAACGCACGTGGCAAATGAGAAATTTCTCCACACCTGTGGAACTCTCAAGAGTTTGACCCCAAACTCGCTTTGAGAAGTCTCGAAGACGTGATGAGGCGCTGTGTCAGATGCGAGGATGATTAGTCGTAGTATTATAATCCTTTCTTAATCCTGCAGTTAAGTTTCTTTCCATAAGAAAATGGAACCGAAAAGAAAAACCCCCACACGAATATTTTGTATTTTTTATTATTATTATTATTCCCGGGCGGGAGCGAAACCTTGGTTTGTAAATAAAACGTGATTGATCTTCCATAACAGACCCCCGTACCCAGGACCACCTCCGCCGCCCGGATTCCCAGGATCTCCCGGGGGGCCGGACATGGGGCCTGAGGGCACGGGGGCCATTCCTGGGCCGATGCTTGGCCCCGGCCCGGACGAGATGCCGTTTAGCCCCGAGATGAACCCAGGACCACCAGTGGGACCGGGGCCCCCAATGGGGCCCTTCATGCAGGGAGACCCGGGAGCCATCCCACCAGGCCCCTCCGGCCTCGACTTCTACGACGACTATTATCACCCGCAGGGCATGTCGATGGACCCCAGACAGGAGATAGAGGAAGGTAGGAGACAAGCCGTGTCCTTTACCTCAGCCATTCTGGGATACTAAGGTGTCACGAACAAGATCTCCCTGTAGCTCAGGGGTTAGACCCTTCGCCTCCCAGGCCAGAGGACCCGGGTTCGATTCCCGGGCGGGTCAGGTCAGGGTGAAACCTTAGGCAAGTTTCCTTATTCCACACACACACACATACACACACACACACACGCCTGTGTTACCAGCAGTCAGTAGGATCGCTTTCCGGGAGTAATAATCCCTTAAAAATAAATAAAAATAATTTGGTCACTCAATCCACGGCTGTTTGTGGGGACGCTGCTGTGTGCAATTGGCTGCCGCGTTTCGCCCACAAAATACAATCAATTCACTTTACAGTATATTCTGTGAAGCGCTTTGAGACGTCTCGGAGACGTGATAAGACCCTGTATCAAACGCAAGGATCATCATTATTATTATTATAAAAACTTGCTTGAGTGATACAGCCTGAATAGTGAGGCACCTCATTTACTGTGGTCAAAAGGCAAAATACTGCAGATGCTGGAAATCTGAAATAAAGTGACCAGAAGTGGCCGGGAAGACTCAGCGGGTCAGGCAGCATCTATGGAGAGAGGAAAGTGAGCCGATGACCTGCGTCAGAGCGCTTTCCTCTCTCCGCAGACGCTGCCTGACCTGCTGTGTTGTGGCCAGCGACTTCTGTTTTTATTTTGTTACTGAGGCGTTCGACCCAGAGCTAACGACACCTTCCCTTCGCAGGCGATTATGAGCAAATGGATGTGGGAGACGGGATGCCGGTTCTGACGCAGCCACTGGAGGAGATGGAGGCGGAGGAGAACGGGGATGGGCCGGGCAGTCAGAAGCCCGCCGTGAGCATCCCGGATTTCCTCCCGGCCGCCCAGAGAGCTCTGTTCCTCCGCATCCAGCAGAAGCAGCAGGAGGAAGAGGAGAAAGCAAAGCGAAGGACAGACAGCAGCCAACAGGACAAGGAGAACCAGGAGGGTGAGTGTGTCTTAGTCCACATTTCGGTGGAGGTGGGGGCAGCCAGGCTCACAGAAGGGCAGGGCCAGGGTCAACAGTTGTTAGTCGATTGGTGGATCGCCTTCTGGGCGTAATAAACCCCTTTTAAAAAGGAAATAATTTGGTCACTCAATCCACGGCTGTTTGTGGGACTTTGCTGCCGTGTGCAATTGGCCGCCGCGTTTCGCCCACAAAATACACAGTCATTTCGCTTTCCGGTGTATGCTGTGAAGCGCTTTGAGACGTCTGAACAACCCGATAAGGCGCTGCTTCAAACGCAAGGATTATTATTATTATTAGGCTGGATGTTGTCACAGGGTCGGTCTGGATGAAGGAGGCCTTCCAGCCTGCCTGACCTCATCCCTGTCGAGCCCAGGTCTCTCGCTTGCGAGGCGAGTGGTCTAACCACTGGGCTACAGGACTCCACATTTCCCTCAACACCCTGACCTGACAAACATCTGTCAACCGCTGTCTTGAAAATCTGATCCGGCCATAATCCACAGCCTCTTGGAGGAGAGAGGTCCAGGTTTCTTTTGTGTGAAAAACTGCCTCCTGATTTCACTCCTAAGTCCCCTGGCTCTAATTTTAAGATGATGTCCCCCTTGTTCTGGATTCCCTCCCACTCGCCAGAGGAAACAGCTTCTCTGTAGCTGCCCTAGCGAATCCCTTCATCGTGTTAAACACCTCAATCAGATCACCCCTCAACCTTCTAAACTCCAGACTGGGTGGCAAGACACCGAAATATATAACGGCCATTAAAAGGCACTGAAAGTAAGTCAAGGCAACTCATTACACGCACCACGGGGCCAGGTCAAGAGGCTGAAAGGCTGACTCACTCGTTGGTGCGGCACAAAGGCAGACGAGGCAGCAGTAAAAAGTGCAGCCAATTGCGCACAGCAACGTCGACCACACAAACAGCCGTGGATTGAGTGACCAAATTATCGTTGTTGTCTTTTTCTTGAGGGATTATTATCAGGCGCGCGTGTGGGGTAAGGAAACTGGCCCAAGGTTTCGTTCTGCCGGGAATCGAGCCCAGGTCTCTCGCTTGCGAAGCGGGCGCTCTAACCACTGAGCTACAGGGCTCCACTGGAATCTGACCGCGAGTCAGGGGGAGGGAGAGGGAAAAGAGGAAGGTCTTCAGGGGTGTTGACCATTCTGTGCTGTTGGTTCTGTTCGCCCACTGCCTTTGCTTGTCGTGCCCTTTGGGTGTCAGCCTCAGCCCCGTAGGGTCCTGTCGTGTTGTGGTTAGCAGCCTCGCCTCGCAAGCCAGACGACTAGCATTCGATTCCCAGGCGGTTCAGGGCGAAACCTTAGGCAAGTTTCCTTCCTCCACACCCACAGACACACACACACACACACAGACACACACACACAGACACACACACCAACACACACCTCTGTTTACCAGCAGTAAGTAGGAAATCACTTGTTAGTTGATTGGCCGACCACTTTCTGGGGGTAATAATCCCTCCAAAAAAATAAAATTGGTCACTTCAACCCACGGCTGTTTGTGGGGACGTCGCCCACAAAACACACAGTCACTACACTTTACAGTGTATTCCGTGAAGCGCTTTGAGACATGTCGACGACGTGATCAGGCGCCGGGTCAAACGCCGGGATTATTATTATTAATATTATCGATGCAGCGTCTCAAAGCGCTTCACAGGACGTACCTTCAAGTGGAGTGACTGCGTGATTTACGGGCGAAAAACGGCAGCCAAGGCGTCGCTGTGCAGTGTTGACCCACTGACTGACTGACTGACCGTCTGTGTGTGTGTCTGTCTGTCTGTGTGTCTGCAGGTGACGGTGACAACTGGTACTCGAGTGACGAAGAGGACGGTGGCAGCAGCATGAGCTCCATCCTGAAAACCCTCCGCCAGCAGAGCGCCAGCAAGCCCCAGGCCCCGGCCTCGTGGGGGGCACAGAAGAACGGCAACAGCCAGACCAGCGCGGACCCCCGCCTGCAGAAGGAGAGGTCGGCGGGGGCGGGGGGCACGGTCGCCAGTCGGCCCATGGACCCTCGGATTTCCCGGGACCCCCGTTTGAGCCGGAGCGCGGAGAGCAACACGGCGGGCTCCGGCTCCGACGTCGCCCCGGCCGACCCCAAGCCGTCGGGGGGGCCCAAACCCGAGCCCACCCAGCCCGGCGCCCCCAAACCCCCAGCCGGCGAGGAGGACGGGGAGAGGCTCCTGCGGGACCGGCCGGTGGCCATTCCCCTCGACCCGCCCCCGGGCCCCTCGCTGAGGGACCCCCGGGGTCAGCTCCAGCAGTTCAGCCATATCAAGATGGACGTCTCCCTGGGCAAGCCGCACTTCGCCAAGAGCGTGCTGTGGAGCCCAGAGGACCTGCTCCCCCTCCCCGTCCCCCTCCCGCTCCCCCTCCCTGTCCCCCTCCCCGCTCTCGCTCCCGCCTCGCCCTTCCCGGTGCTGGACCCGCGCCTGAACCGGCCCCCGCAGGCCCCCCCCCCTTCAGACCCCCGGCAGCGAGCGAGTGAGCCAGCGACTGAGCCCGCCCAGCCCCCCCCGCTGCCCTCTTCTTCCTCCTCGTCCGCCCCGGCGCTCCCGGACCTCGGCTTGCTGACCCGGTTGCTGAAGCCCCCGGAGGCCCCGGCTGCCAAGCTTCCCAGCTCGAGCGACAAGCCCTCGGACCCCCGGGTGCGGAAAACGCAGGCCGACCCCCGGCTGCTGAGATCAGCCGCCCCGGCGGTCGCCGCCGGGGGTGGTGGTGGGGGCAGCCCCCAAGCCTGCGGCTCCCCTCCGGCCAAACCCTCAGAGCAAACCGAAGATCCCCCTCCCGCTCCAGCGGTGACCGCCAGCGCCATTCCGGCGGTGGCGAAGGAGCCGGCGAGTTGCCCGGGCCTCGCCCCCTACGACCCCAGGCTGGTCACGGCCGGTGGCGGCCAGAGCCGGGGAGGGGGGTCCGGGCCGAGTGAGGTGCTGAGCGGCATCAGCCTGTACGACCCGCGGACCCCGCCCGGCGACCAGCCAAAAGGGGGGCCGGAGGCGGGCAAGCCCGGGGGCAAAGCCAAGGAGCCCCCCTTCGTGAGGAAGTCGGCCCTGGAGCAGCTGGAGAGCGACAAGTCCGAGGGGCCCGCGGACAGGTACAACAGCTACAACAGGCCCAGGGCCAAGCCGGGGGCCGCTCCGCCGGCCCCGGCTCCCGCCCCCGCCCCCGAGAGCGGCCAGACGGCGGTCCACAGCCTCCCCGTGCCATCGCTGTTCGGACTGGTCCACCCGCAGTTCTCGGAGGTGAAGCCCGCGAACAAGGGGGGCTCCGCCGGCCCCTTCGTGAGCAGCTCCCCTCCCGCCCCCGGGGAGCCCGAGCAGGACTCTGCGTCGCTCAAGGAGGTCTTCAAAGGGTTCGACCCCACGGCCTCGCCGTTCTGTCAGTGAACGCGTAACAGGAACAGTGAGTCAGTGAGTGAGTGAGACAGTGAGTGAGTGACTCAGTGAGTGAGTGAGACAGTGAGTGAGTGAGACAGTGAGTGACTCAGTGAGTGAGTGAGTGAGATCGTGAGTGAGTCAGTGAGTAAGTGAATCAGTGTATCAGTGAGTGAGTGAGGGAGACAGTAAGTGAGTGAGTGAGTCAGTGAGTGAGTAGTCAGTGAGTGAGTGAGTCAGTGAGTGCTGCATTTAACCTTGTATATTTAACCACAACAGGGCCTGGCTGGCCACAGTGTGTTGGGCAACATTTAACCCTCAACTTTTTTATCATTGTAATTTAATAATAAAAATGCTGGAGATGCTCAGAAACCAGGCTGGCGAGATTCACAGAGCTGGATGTTAGTCCGTGGTCGAAACCCAGTCTCTATCTTTAACACTCACAGTCTCCTTTTGTATCTAAAAGGTTTTCACGATATATCCTGCGAAGCGCTTTGAGACGTCTCGACGACGGGATGAGGCGTCCTCTATCGAAAGCGAGGATCAATATTACTATTATCGTTAGTCACTTTTGACGGTCTCTAAAAGATTCCAAAGGGGAAAACAAACGGCATTAAAAGTAGGAACCCGGTCGCGAGTCGATCGCCGGGTCGAATTCCCGGGGGGAGTAATCCCTTCAACAACAAAAAAACGATCATAATGATAATTCGGCCACTCAACCCACGGCTGTTTGTGGGGCGAGACGTGCGCGTTTGGCGGCCGCGTTTCGGCCATAAAATATACAGTCGCCACCCAGTGTATCCTGTGAAGCCCTCTGAGGCGTCTCGAAGACGTGATAAGGCGCTGGATCAAATGCAAGGATTATTATTGTTGTAGGACAGGATGCAACTGCTATTACTTCCCCGACCTTCGAGCGGAAGCGATCAAGTTGTGTTTCGGCAGCGGAGTAAAATCACCAGCGCAAACGTAGCTTGTGGGAAGCCGGCACCGTGCGGGTGAGGTCAGTGCTGCCTGTGTGCGGGACAGTGATGGGTGACTGTGTTTTGGGGTAAGTTCTGCTTCAGACGTTGCTGCGATGACCCTTCGTGTTGGATGTGGGTAATCCAGCAGGTGCCGCAGCCCTGCAGCGAACAGGCTCAGTAGTAGACGAACTGGAGCATCTGTTCGTAAACTCCAGGTTACTTTATCTGCCGGAGTGTCTCTCTAAACGTCTCGCATTTTTCGGGGGGTCAGCCGGGTGTCTGACACACATGGAAACCCATCACCGTGACCGGCCGGGGGTCTGACACACACACACGGGAACCCGTCACCGTGACCGGTCGGGTGTCTGACACACACACACGGAAACCCATCACCATTGCTTAAGAGTCTCCAAACCCGACTGAGAATTCCCCACATCCCCCCCACACCCGGGAACCCCGGAGAGAGGCTGTCGGGATGGAATGCGCTCTCTCTCTCTCTCTCTCCCTGGAGGGACGCCCCCCGTTTACCTAATTCCGGAGAGTATTAGGCGCAGGTTGGCGAGAGCCAAGGCTTGGGGGGGTGGGTGGGGGGGAGCCCAGAGTGTGCGTTGGGGGTAACTGCTGTAGTCTAACCGGCTAAAACCCCCATAGTGTGGCCATTGCTATCGCTGTCTGGTGAGCTTTCCTGCTGCTCGTCTCGCTTTCAGAACAAAGGAAATTGCCGGAATGAATGAACGAATGAATAAATAAATGAATGAAATATTCGGGGGAGAGAGAGAGAGAGAGAGAGATCTTGAAAACCTTATATATTTTTTAAAAACTGAAGTGTGTGGAAAAGTCTGGACAGACCTCGTGAGGGGCTCATAATGTGATGCTTTGTGTTTTTTGTTTCCAAGTTTTAACATTTTTATAACAGATTGGGGGCGAATCTAGAAGTTCTGGCCAACACCTCCCTCAGCACTGAATAGCGCCCAACAGACTCAGTTACCGCACGGAAATATTTCTCCTGTGGAGGGGCCCCGCGCCGGATTTTTTTGTTCTTATCTGTAGTCAAATCGTGCGTTGGCCCAGAGGAAAGTCTACCTCACTCTGGTCTGTAGGGTAGGGGTTAGAGCCCTCGTCTCGCGAGCGCGAGGACCTGCGTTTGATTCCCGGGCGCAGGAAAACGTTGGGCAAGTTTCACTCCATACGCACACACACGCGCCTCTCTTTGCCGACTAGTGAGTCGGAACCCGGTTGTCGGTCAGTTGGCGAATCACTTTCCAGAGGTAATAATCCCTTCAAAACATTTTTTCTTAACGAACCGTTTGGTGGCCCTCAATCCGCGACTGTCTGTGGGACGCTGCTGCGTGCCATCGGCTGCCGCGTTCTGCCCGAGAAATACGGTCGATTGCATATTTATACTTTGCAGTGAAGCTCTGAGACGTGTCGAAGACGCGATAAAAAGGCGCAATAACAAATGCGAGGACTGTTATTTTTATTGTGAGGCCTCGTGCGCTATTTTCTGTCTAAATATAGAGCTATTTAAAGTCGTATTGCAGTGCGCACTTGACATCAATGTTGCACTAAGTCGACTCCAGTGTAAAAATTATTTTTATACCAGTTGTCTTTATCTGTATGTTGTAAAGTGTTGGTGCTTAGTATCTACCGTTAGTGACGAGCAGTGAAGAGATCTTGAGGTGCAGTGGAGTCCCGTAGCCTAATGGTTAGAGCCCTCGCCTCGCGAGTCAGAGAGAGGACCCGGGTTCGATTCCCGGGCGGGTCAGGTCAGGGCGATACCTACGGCAAGTTTCCTCACACGCAGACACACACACACACACACACACAGACGTGCACACGCTCACACGCCTCTGTTTACCGGCAGTAAGTAGGAACCCGGTTGTTAATCGATTGGGGGGATCGCTTTTCCGGGGGGAAAGAGTTCTCCCAACCGTGTCGGGCGTGAAAGCGCTGTGTAAACGCGAGGTGGTGTCGGTGGTGGTGGTGTCGGATGGATGGAATCCTCGGCTCGGGTTTGGAGACTCTCAAGCGCGGCACTGGGTTTCCGTACGTGTCAGACACCCGGTCTGAACCCCCTCCCCCCCCAAAAAAAATTGCCCTCGACAAGCAATAATAATAATAATAATCCTGGCATTTGATACAGCGCCTGATCACATCTTCGAGACGTCTCAAAGCGCTTCACAGGATATACTGTAAAGTGAATTGACTGTATTTGGTGGTCCTCACACCCTCACATTACCTTTAAGCGCTCTGGGACGCTGCCCCGAGTGAGAGGTGTTCTATAAGTGCAAGTTGTTGTCGACTGCGATGGCAATTGTGGTCAAACAGCCAACCGGCACAGCCGAGGCTCAGGTACCCCTCCGGACGTGGGGAGGAATTTATTTTAAAAGAGATCATCTTCGGGTGTGAGGTGCGGGGGTGGGGTGGGGGGAGAGAGAAAGGAAATTTAATGCTCGTTCTCGAAACAATTACGAAAACCTTATTTTGTTTTGTTTTTTCTACACCCAAAAAAATCGAAAGCCTTTACTTGATATTGGAAAGAAGAAAATTCTCTCGAGCCGTTCCCGCGCTCGGCCGAGCGCGTTCGAAGTCGGTGAACCTGTTTTGCGTCCCTCCGGCGGCTCTAATGAATCGGTCGCTCAGTGCGCAGTTAGCTGCTGCGTTTCGCCCACAAAGCCTACAGTCGACTCGCTTTGCGGTACGTCCCGCGAAGCGCTTTTGAGACGTCTCAACGTGATAAACGGCGCCTCGTGTGTCGGGTGCAAGTGTTATGTGTTATTACGGCAGCTCAACTCTTTATACGTGAGATGTACAGTAAAGTGTTGCCTCGCACTGTGTCCCCCCCTCTGTGCCCGACTCCCTCCTGTACACGTGGAAAAAAAAAACACAACCGGTCTTTGTATTTATAACCGTGGTTGAGATGAATGTGTGAATAGCTTTCTAGTTTGAAACGCGTACGGTATATCCTTTCTTTGAGAGAAAAGGCGGTGTCTGGAGCGGACGAGGGCACTGCTGACGAACCGAGTGTTTTTACTGTACGCCTTTGATCAACGTCTAAATCACACGTTTCGCGCGCGAGAGAGAGTGAGAGAGAGAGAGAGAGAAATTGTGTTGTATAATTTTCGTCGGAAGAGTTTTAACCCACCGCGCGGCTAATAAAAGAAAAGTACGGTATTGATGTGGTTTCCTTGGCGCTCGGTGGGGGTGCGGCGGCGATCCGGAAACTTGGGTGAACTCCAAGCTGCGGGGACTGACCTCTCGCCTGCAATTAAACCCCGGGAACTCTGTAAGTCCGCGGCGGGTTGTCCCGCAGCTGGAGATGGGTTCGTTCGAAGCTGATCATCGGCAAACGCGGCTTAATTACATACATTCCTATCGACCCGACGCAAGTGACTACGCTGCTCACCTCACCCCAGGAACGTGACAGAGACGTGCGAGCGAATAAAATGAAACTCGACAGAGACGTCATTCCGTTACTCACTGTATTTTCCCTCGAAACCACAGACTGAAAACACGACTGAAAATGTTCTGCTCGAAGGGGAGCAGTCTTCGGGTCGCAGAGCCCGGGCTGACGCAGAAGCTTTCCGACAAAACGATCGCCGTCCCGTGACTTATGTAAAATGATTATCGTTCCTTTGTTAGTAATGGTTTCTGGCGGTTGGGAATCTGATCTGCCGGTGATTGCTCAGCACACTTGTTGCGTTGCGGGTGGGTTTAACTGTAGACGCCAAAAATGCTCGGACATCTTCATGAGTGAGAGGCGGTAACTTCATCGACGTCTCCCTAAAGTCAGGAGAGAAAAAAAAACGCACTTAAATAATTAGCTCCGAAACCTCGGGCAAGTTTCCTTACTCCCCGCGTCTGCTCACATAGCGGTACGTAGGAACCCGGTGGTTCAGTCGACAGGCGGATCGGGGGAATCCCTTCGGGAAAAAAATAATAATTTGGTCACTTGATCCATGGCTGTTTGCGGGGGACGCTGCTGTGCGCAATCGGCTGCCGGGTTTCGCCCACAAAATACAGTCGGTTCGCTTTACAGCGTGAAGCGCTTTGGGACGTCTCGACGACGTGATAAAGTGCTATGACAAATTATTATTATTATTAATATGGTCTCGGAGTTCCGTGGGCCAACGTTTACCGCATGTAAAAAAAATGTTACGCCGAATGGGTTTTCTTAACGCTGCAGTTCATTTTGTTTCTCCCCCCCCCCCCCACCACCCCACCCCACCCCGAGGGGAAAATAGAACCAAAACAAAAACTAAGTGGCTGTAAAATATTTCCAAGTGAGTGAGTACCTTTCGCCCACAAACAACAGTCCATTTACTTTAACAGTATGTTCTGCGAAGCGCTTTTGAGACGTATTATTATTTATTATTATTATTGTTATTGCCTGTTTTTGTTGACCTCTCGCCGCTGTTGCTGTTGCTGTGACGGGGAAGTTCTCCGCTGTGGTCGCGTTACACTGGTTCGAGCACATGCTCTCATAGCTGTGGGAATATGGGAAGCAGCCGAGGCTTAAGCCGTTGACAGCCCTCGAAGAAATAATCTGTCAGACCACCACCTGTCGGTAATCAGAGCCCTTCCTCCTGAGCGAAGCCTTCTCTGAACTTCCCGTCGCCTCCCTTTGCCAGTGTTTCTACTCAACTTTCACCCTCCTACTCCCACCCTCCCCCCCCCACTCCCTGATCCCGACCCCCAACTCGGGTCCAAGCCCCCGACTGTCCAGCGAACTTGGGGCGTCCTCCCGACGTGAAAGGCAGTGGCTGAGTAAATGTGATTTGTTGTCGTCGTCGTTGTTACAGTCCTTTCCGCTATCGGACCCTCCAATGGCCGTGATGGAGCATCACCGAAGCCAATATGTTTGGGGTGATCACAACTGAGCTCCAATGGAGGGGTGGGGGTGGGGGGGGTTTAGTTGCCACCGGTTGTTTTTACTGCCCCGGTGTGTGGTGTGTGCGCTGTGGCCCTTACGTTTTAATGACTCCCACCAACACACTCTCTTCCTCTTGCAGCTGCTTGTCCTGGAAGAGAGCAGATTCACGACAACCACCTGCATTTACACAGCGCTCCCTCGTTCCCGCGGGGCAGCGCCCCAGAGCGCTCGACAGCGGCAGAGCACGAGGCTGAGCCGGTGGCGTTGGGAGGTGACCATAGGCACAGGTCAAAGAGGAAGGCCTTCGAGTTTCGGGGCTTAGTAGCTGGAAGCTGCGGCCGCCGATCTTGTGAGAGATTGTTTCCACGCAAAACGGCTCTCGATCAGATGAAAGGATCACTGGGGACAGAGGATCTCACCCACATCCCCTGAAGCCACAGTGGCCTCTCTTTAAGAGTTTTCTTACGTTAATCCTTGATCCTGTAGTGACTGTGCACAAAACACGGCAGCCAATTGCTCACAGGCAGTGTCCCTCCCACAAACAGTCCCAGACTGAGTTACCAAATTATTATTTATTTTAATTTTTGTTGGAAGGGATTATTACCCCCGGAAAAAATTGATTAACAACGGGTTTCCTACTGACTGCTGAGCAAACACAGGCACTCGCGCGCGCGTGTGTGTGTGTGTTGTAAGGAAACTCGCCTAAGGTTTCGCCCTAACCCGCCCGGGTACGGAAAGGCTCGCACGGTAAGGTCTCCAACAATACCCCGCAGGACTCCACGTTTAAACCACACATCGGATTGGGGTCAGGTTTGAAACTCACACTGTAACGCCATTCCTCCAGTGCGGCGCTGCCCTCAGGGCTGTCCGGTTGGAGGTCGGTTGGTTTCAGAATGCGTTCCTGGGAGGAGCAAAGGTTTGGGATAGGAGTTTCCGGTTAAGAGTCTTATGTACAATACAGTCACTTTAGCCTTTACAATATCGCAGCACCTTTCAGGTCGAGAGGAAGTCCATTTCAAAGCCGGAGGTGGATAATTCTCCGTGAGCCGCAGTTTCCATTCAGTACAAATAATCCCTTTGTTTCACGATAACACCAAAATGGGATTCAACTCATTGCTGTAGTTGGAAAATTGCTGTTATGGAATCATGAAATCTTACAGCACAGAAGGAGGCCATTCGGCCCATCGTACCTGTGCTGCTCTTTGAAAAGAGCCGCCGACTAGTCCCACTCCCCCACTCTTACCCCATAGACTGTTTGTGGGACACTGCCTTTCGCCCACAAGTTATACAGTCAGTTCACTTTCCGGTATATTTCTGTGAAGCGTTTTGAGACGTCTTGAAGACATGATACAGAGCGATATAAATGCAAGGATTATTATTATTATTATTATTACAGCTCTGCACGTTTTTCCTTTGCAAATACCTCTCCAATTCCCCTTTTGAAAGCTACTATCGAATCTGCTCCCACCGGCCTTTCAGGCAGTGCGCTCCGGACCGTAACAGCTCTGGACTGCAGCTTAGCCGTCGTGTTTGCCCACACAACCAACGTGACCGCCTCGAGGAATGCCTGCTTGGTCGGAACGGGATTTCTCCCCACTCCCTGATAGTTTTCTCCCCGTCTCTCTTGAAGCTGCTGATTCGGGGCAGCTCTGTGGGAATTTGAATCCGCATGCGGGAGCTCGCGATAGAACAGAAATCGGAACATTTGTTGAGGGAGGGGGGGGGGCACAGCTTGGAACGAATATTTCAAGGCCACGCTGCAGAAGGGTAAGTCAACCAAAGATCTGGAGATTCCTGTGCAGTTTCGTGGCGGGACAGACCGGCCTGAGGGTCTTCAACACTCGGCTCCTGTTAACCCTGCAAGGGGTCGGGCGAGGGTGGTCCTGGACAAGCAGCGGGAAAGCTCGCCAGACTGCGCTCTCTCTCTCTCTCTCTCTCGATGGCAAGCTATGTGTGGTTAAACGCCAGCGATTACCCCAACGGACGCCCTGGGCTCGTGTGGACCTCTCGGGAATTCGGTAAGCGAATCTCTCCCGGGGAGGTAGAGCTTGTTCTATTCCAAGCTCCATGGACAGGTGACCCTGCGGGGAATTCTGTCCGGTTTGGAGACTCTTCAGCACGATGCTGGGTTTCTGGATGCATTGCTGGCTGACCAGAAGCATCTCCCTCAGCCTCTCAGCCATCCCGCCCTCCAGCGGCGTAAGCGGAGCATTGCAGAGCGTCTTACAATTGACGAACCTGAATTCCAGCAACAACTGAAAAGCTACAACAGCAAAAAAATTCGCATTTGCACAGCGTTTTTCTCCTCGGGGGGGACGTCCCCGAAGCTGCCACAACAACTGGGGCGTAAGACTGCACTTTACCTTTAAGAAATACATTCCCTCCAGCGTGACTAAAATAACAACAACAACAAATTATATCTGTACAGAGCCCTTTACATCGGAAAGACGTCCCAGGGCTCTGGAAGACTCTAAAGCACGGGGATGGGTTTCCAATACATTGTTTAAGGAGTGGGAGATCTGGGAGGCAGTGCTGTGGGGTAAGAGCGGGGGAGTGGGGACTAGTTGGGGTAAGAGCGGTGGGGGAGTGGGGACTAGTTGGGGTAAGAGCGGTGGGGGAGTGGGGACTAGTCGGTGGCTCTTTCAAAGAGCCGGCACAGGGCTCGATGGGCCGAATGGCCTCCTTCTGTGTTGTTAGATTCTGTGATATTAACTTGGCTGAATTGACCGAGACTCCGGGTTCCTGTTGGGCAAAGGTGCGCACACGTGTGTGTGTGTGTGTGTGTGTGGCATAAGGAAACTTGCCTAAGATTTCGCCCTGACCCGAACGGCCGGGAATCGAACCGGGACCTCTGGCTTTTGAGACGAGAGCTCTAACCGCTGAGCCGCAGGACTCCACGCGCAAAGTTTCCTCCCTGGGGAGCACTGAACACTTCCCGCTGAGGGAGTCTGCGGCACAACCCGCTTTTTTAACCATCTGTTCCTCTTAAATAATAAATAATGATTAACGTTGGATTTTTTTCCCCTCTATTCTTATTTCCCTCAAGAACGCTGATGGTGGTGACTGACCTTGTGGAGCTTTCCGGCACATTCTGCCCGTTTATCCCCAGTGTCCTGACCCTGCAGATAGCTGGACACAACAGCGAGCCTTCAACCGAGGGGGGAGGGAGGGGGGAGAAAGGGAACGACATGTTAGGTTCTCAGCAGCTTTTAACCATTAACCAACCGCCAGATAACGGCTCAATGGAATATCCTCCAAACAGCAAAGGCAGATAAAAGTGCATGAATTGTGGAACGCAATGGGTAAAGTTTGTGGGATTCATGTATTTCATGTATTCCTCAGAATAATGTCGGCTTTAAGTGTCACTGGAACCCGAGCTTCCTGCCGAAGCTGCTGCAACGCCAACAGCAAACCACAAGTGACATTTTACGCGGCGCCTTTCACGTCGGGAAGACGGCCCAAGGCGCTGGACAGTCAGGGATTTGGACCCGAGTTTGGGGTTGGGATCAGTAGGGGGTGGAGGGCAGGAGGGTGGGGGTAGGAGGGTGGCTGAAGGCACGTCGAAGACTAGGGTCTTGAGACGTGCCTTGAAGGAGGTGAGGCGGAGGGTCTGTGGGATGGAGTTCCAGAGGGCGGGGGCAGAGCGGCTGGTCGGCCTTCAGCCTCTCTGTCCCCACCCTCTGGAATTCCATCCTACAGTCCCTGCGGCCACTGTCCCTGACTGACCACTCGCGACAGTGACTATTCCTACCATTTGTGGCACTCCGCACTGTCTCCGTGGTCCTGCAGACTGACGGCTGCTTCGTCCCTCCCTGCAAGAGAGCGAAAGGGGACGGTTTACAATCCGCAGAGAACTCGTCCATTCAATGAAAACTCTCACCCGCTCTGTGCTACAGATGGGATAAACAGAGGCGCGTGCGTGCGTGCGTGTGTGTGTGGAATCGAACCCGGGTCCTCTCGCTTGCGAGGCGAACGCTCTAAGCACTAACTACAGGACTCATCGCGGAGTTGTGGATTTTTTTTTATTATTAATGATGTTCCTACCGGCCAAAGCATAGGATTTCTGTGCCTCTTCATCCTCTGTGATCTCAAACATGTCACTAAAGGCTCGGATCATCCGCCAACAGAATTCCTCACTGTTGCCAAACTGCAAGCAATGTCATCACCAACCTCAATGCTAGTTTATACAGTCGGTATTATTACAATAATAATCCTTGCATTTGATACAGCGCCTTATCGCGTCTTTGAGCCGTCTCGAAGCACTTCACAGAATAGACTGTGAAGTGCAGTGACTGTGTGTTTTGTGGGCAAAGGGAGGGGCAGGGCAGAGGGATAGAGCGAGACACACCAGGCGCTCCAGCTAAAGGAAGGTATTTATTTATTCAGCTTAAATTCAAAACTTTTGTGACAGTGCCACTGGACAAAGGGGGCTGTGTAGGTATAGGGAAAGATTCCCAACGGACCACAAGAAAATCTGGGAGCAACAAGCAGCGCAGGGCAACTGAAAAGGCAGAAAGGGACCCAGAAAATATAAATGAAGTTAAATAACAGATTTTAGAAACCTGCTTTTGCAGTTATTTAATCAACCGGTGAAGTTTAATGAGTCTTTCTGGAACGCTATCGTACTTTTGTCACCGTGACTTGCATCGAGTCCAAGGTGTCGATGTCCAAAATGACCAGTCCATCACGTGAGCACATTTGCCACCTTAGTGCAGGTGAGTTTACCTCTATCTGCAGAGCCACATTTACCTTTGTTTTGTTGTCCCGAAGGGCGTTGAATCCTTCCTTTTTATCCTCGTGGCTGCCTTGGTGCAGTCTGTCAGCTTCTTGCAGCAGTGAGTTCAGCTCCAACTCGAGTTCCGACATTGCTTCCTGTGGTGATTCGGTGTCCAATTCAGTGTCCGCCTCCTCCACTTCTGTCTCGGTTCGGGCTGTGGCATAACTGGAAATCAATATGGAATAATGATATATATCTGAGAGGAAATTACAAACGTGATCGAAGTTGCACAGTCTGATTGCAAACCCACAGTAACATTAGTAATAATCCTTGCAAATTTCTAGAGGGTCTGCCAAGTGTAATCTGAAGGCAGGAAAAGAGGGGACGTGACGGAGGGATTGAGGCAGGGAATCCCTGAGCTTCGGGGCGCGTTGGCCGAAAGCACAGCTACCAATGGTGCGGCAGACGGGGGGGTGGGGGGGTGGGAGGAGGTGGGGGTCGAGGGAGGTGCAGTAAACACGAGCCGGTGGAGTGGGAGGATTGGTGGTGTGTGGGGTGTGAGCGGATCAGAGCGGTGGGGGGGGGGGGGAGAGGGTGTGAAGCCATTCGAACGTCAGAAATGAGGAGTTTGGGATTGATCTGCTCTGCAACGGGGAGTCAGCGGAGCCTGTGTCTGGGGGGGGGGGGGGGGGGGAGAGGGGACGGTCATGTGCGCAATCGGCTGCCGCGCTTCGCCCACCAACGTCCGGTCACTTCACTTTACAGTCTGTCCTGCGAGGGGGAGGTGTGAGGAGAGGAAGAAGGTGCGAGAGAGAGAGAGAGAGAGAGAGAAGGTGTGAAGAGAAAGAAAGGCAAAGCGCAAACCGAGGCCATGTGGATGACCGCTGGAGAATGCAAGTAGAATAATAATTTGTTTTTTTTTCACACCTTCTTTCTCTCTCTCTCTCTCTTCCACCTGCTCTCTACCTTTCTTTCTCTTCACACCTTCTCTGTCTCCCTCTCCCTCTCTCTCTCTCTCGCTCCTCACACCTTCTTTCTCTCTTTGCACCTTTTTCCTCACACCTTTCTCTCTCGCGCTCTCTTCAACACCTCCTCCTCACAACTTCTTCCCCTCTCTTCACACCTTCTCTGTGTCTCTCTCTCTTTCTTCACACCTTCTCTCTGTCTCTCTCTCTTCACACCTTCTCTCTGTCTCTCTCTCTTCACACCTTCTCTCTGTCTCTCTCTCTTCACACCTTCTCTCTGTCTCTCTCTCTTTCTTCACACCTTCTCTCTGTCTCTCTCTCTTCACACCTTCTCTGTCTCTCTCTCTCTCTTCACACCTTCTCTCTGTCTCTCTCTCTCTCTTCACACCTTCTCTCTCTCGCTCTCTCTTCACACCTTCTCTCTGTCTCTCTCTCGTCACACCTTCTCTCTCTCTTCACACCTTCTCTCTGTCTCTCTCTCTTCACACCTTCTCTCTGTCTCTTTCTCTCTCTTCACACCTTCTCTCTGTCTCTCTCTCTTCACACCTTCTCTCTCTCTCGCTCTCTCTTCACACCTTCTCTCTGTCTCTCTCTCGTCACACCTTCTCTCTCTCTCTTCACACCTTCTCTCTGTCTCTCTCTCTCTTCACACCTTCTCTCTCTCTCTCTCTCTCTCTTCACACCTTCTCTCTGTCTCTCTCTCTTCACACCTTCTCTCTCTCTCTCTTCACACCTTCTCTCTGTCTCTCTCTCTCTTTACACCTTCTCTCTCTCTCGCTCTCTCTTCACGCCTTCTCTCTCTCTTCACACCTTCTCTCTGTCTCTTTCTCTCTCTCCACACCTTCTCTCTGTCTCTCTCTCTCTCACACCTTCTCTCTCTCTCTCTCTCTCTCACACCTTCTCTCTCTCTTCACACCTTCTCTCTGTCTCTCTCTCTTCACACCTTCTCTCTCTCGCTCTCTCTTCACACCTTCTCTTTCTCTTCACACCTTCTCTCTGTCTCTCTCTCTTCACACCTTCTCTCTCTCTCGCTCTCTCTTCACACCTTCTCTCTCTCTTCACACCTTCTCTCTGTCTCTCTCTCTCTCTCTCTCTCTCTGTGTCTCTCCCACGTGACCTGTCCACCGCCTCGGGACCGCCTTTCCGACGTGAAGGGGCGCCATCAGCGCAGGTGCAGGTGATCGCCGCCGCCGCCGCGCCCACTCACCCGGCCTCGCTGCCGCTGTCGGACGCGGCTTTGCCGGCGCTGGCCGCGAAGTAGATGGAGGCCGAGTCGGCCGAGTCGTCGCCGCCGTCGCTGTCTCTCGGGCCCCGGCGCCTCGTCCTCCGGGTGCTCCTCCCTCCGCCGCCGCCGGGCCTGTCCGCCGCGGCCTGTACGCACTCCCTGAGCGCCCGCACCTCGGCCCTCAGGCTCTCCAGGCAGCCGTGGATGGAGTCCAGGTAATCCAGCACCTCCTCCCGGGGCCGAGGCCGAGGCCGGGAGCCCGGGCCCGGCAGCTCCTCGGCGCCCACCGGCCTCGCGTCAGACCGGGGCAGCGCTCCCTCCTCCCAGCGGCCCCCGGCCCCGCCCCCAACTCCAGCCCCGCCCCCGGCTCCTCCCCCGCCTCCAGCTCCAGCCCTGCCATTGGCTCCAGCTCCGCCTCCGGCTCCTCCCCCGCCTCCAGCTCCAGCCCTGCCATTGGCTCCACCTCCAGCCCCGCCCCCGGCTCCACCCCCAGCCCCTGCTTCCGCCCCTCGTCGCACCCTCCACGTGAGGAGGAAGCCCGCGGCCGCCAGCCCCGCCCCCGCCGCCAGGCCCCAGGCCCTCAGCTTCCCCACCTCCGCTAACATGGCGGCGCCGCCATTTTGTCACCTCTCTCCCTCTCTCTCTCTCCTCACACCTTCTCTCTCCCTCCTCACACCTTCCCTCTCTCCCTCTCTCTCTCCTCACCTTCTCTCTCTCCTCACACCTTCCCTCTCTCCCTCCTCACCTTCTCCCTCTCCTCACATCTTCCCTCTCTCTCTCCTCACACCTCTCTCTCTCTCTCCCCTCACCTTCTCCCTCTCCTCACACCTTCCCTCTCTCTCTCCTCACACCTTCTCTCTCTCTCTCCTCACACCTTCTCTCTCTCTCTCTCTCCCCTCACCTTCTCCCTCTCCTCACACCTTCTCTCTCTCTCTCCTCACCTTCTCTCTCTCCTCACACTCTCTCTCTCTCTCCTCACACCTCCTCTCTCTCTCCTCACACCTTCTCTCTCTCTCTCTCTCTCCTCACACCTTCCCCTCTCTCTCCTCACACCTTCTCTCTCTCTCTCCTCACACCTTCTCCCTCTCCTCACACCTTCTCTCTCTCTCCTCACCTTCTCTCTCTCCTCACACCTTCTCTCTCTCTCCTCACACCTTCCCTCTCTCCTCACACACCTCTCTCTCGCTCTCTTTCCCGCCCGCCCGTTGCCATGGAGACCCGCCGCCGCCGCCTCCGCAGCCTCAACTCTCGCGCGACTAGAGCGCACCCCCGCCCCCCCCGGTCACGTGGAGGAGGTGAGGCCCAGAGCCGCGCTCTCACTTCCCGCCTTTTTTATTTTCACTGCCGCCATTTTGTCCCTCTCTCTCTCTCTCTCACTCACTCCTCACACCTTCTCTCTCTCTCTCTCTCTCTCCTCACACTCTCCTGACACATTTTCTCTCTCTCTCTCTCTCTCTCTTCACGCCTTCTTACTATCTTCTCACACTTTCCCCCCCTCTCTCCTCACGCGTTCCTCCCCCACAATCTTCCCTCCGGCGCACGTCGTCTCCGTTCTCCCACCGCTGTCGTCCTCAAAGCCTGAGGTGAGAAGTGCCAACAAGCGACTGTAACGCAGCGGCTTTCGAGTCAGGAGGACGTCCCCGAGTTTGCCGGACAGTCGGGGGTTTGGACCCGAGCTGGGGGTGTGGGTTTAGGAGGGGTGGAGGGCGGTGGGGGGGGGGGGGTGGAAGGGTGACCGAAGGCGAAGGTCCAAACCACCAATCCCAACCCGGAGCAGAGAGCGAGAACTCGGAGAAACATCCCCGAGAGTTTCACAGTAATTACTGTTACGTCCCTCTGGGGAGAGAAAGTGGACCCCTTCGGATCAGACCGATTGGAAATAGGTGGAACTCTCAGTCGTCTTAAGCGCTCCCGAGACACTGCCCCACGCAAAGGGCGATGTGCAGGTTGTGGCCGTTGTTAACAATAATAATAATAATCCTCGCATTTGATGGAGCGCTTTTCACGTCGGGAGGACGTCCCAAAGCGCTTCACAGAACACACTGTAAAGTGAGTTGACTGTATATTTGTGGGCGAACGCGGCAGCCAATTGCGCACAGCAATGTCCCACAAACAGTCGTAGATTGAAAATGACCAATTTATTATTGGTTTTTGTTTTGGAGGGTTATTATTAGGGCTCTGTGTGGAGTAAGGACACTTGCCCGAGGTTTGGCCCTGACCCCCCGGGGATTGAACTCGGGTCTCTCGCTCGCAAAGCGAGTGCTCTAACCACTGAGCTACAGGACTCCGTTGGTTGGTTGTTGTGGTCTGGTAAATCGATTGAAATATTTGTTTTCGTAACTGGTATCCAACTGTGACCTGAACAAAACGATTTTCGTTCCCTTGCAGACCATTGGAGCGATGGGACGCAAACTGATCTGCAGGTGGCGCTCAGTGAGTACAGAGAGATACTTATTCACTGTGAATGACTGACTGGCGCTTGGGCTGGAAGTTGAAATGCCTTCAATGCTTCTTGCATTTGACATCGTGCCTCTGAGACGTCTCAAAGTGCTCCACAGCGTAAACCCAACTGGGACTGAACGGAAGGATTTATTTTGAGGGATTATTACCCCCCCCCCCCCCCGGAGAGCGATCCGTCAATCGACTAACGACACCTTTCACGTTGGGAGCACTTCCCAAGGCGCTGGACGTTCAGTGTTTTGGACCTGAGCAGGAGGTTGGGATTGGGGAGGGTAGAGGGCACGGTGGGGGGGGGGGAGTAGGGTGACCGAAGGCACGGTCGAAGAGGAGAGTCTTGAGACGTGTCTTGAAGGAGGCAATAGAGGGGGTGAGGCGGAGGACTGCGGGAAGGAGTTCCAGAGGGTGGGGGCAGAGTGGCAGAAGGCTCGTCTGCCAATGGTGGTGCTGGCGAGGCGGGGGACGTGAAGCAGACAGGCGCCCACTGGGCGGAGGGAGCGGGCAGGTTCCTACCTGGTTCCTATATTCCTATTTACTGCTGGATAAACAGAGGCGTGGGATCTGCGGGATTGTTGGCCGGGACACACTTTCTTTTCTATTCAAATGATGTCCACTCTATTCTATTCAAATTAAGAGAATAAGGTACATATAGAATGAATTCTGTTCTATTCAAATGATTCAAATGACGGTACATTCACCCACAAAATACACAGTTAGTTCACTTTACAGTATATTCTGTGAAGCGCTTTGAGACGTCTCGAAGACTTGGTAAGGCGCTATATCAAATGCAAGGATTAGTATCATTATGTCATGGGATCTTCCAACATCCATCTAGAGAAGAAGCAGACACCGGACTTTGATTGAAAGCTAACAGCGTCCTCTCCAGTACCTATGGAGTGCCATCCCTATGTGGTCATTGGCTGGGACCACAATAACAACAAGTTGCATTTATATAGATCCCCTCACGCAGAGCGCTTGACAGTGGTGTTGGTGGCCCTTGACGACGCCAAGCCGGGGGAAGGTGAACATAAGCACGGTCAAAGAGGAAGGTCCTCAGGCGCGACCAGCTGGGGAAGGAGTGGGGGGCAAGGCAGAGGGGTTGAGGGAGAGTGTCCCAAAGTTTTGGGGTGTAGTGGCTGAAAGTGTGGTCACTGATGGCGGACGGATCATAACACAACCGTAGGATCCAGAGGCAAGAAGTTACCCACCGAACTTGACTTTGTCGACTGTGTGCGACTCACTAGATCACAAAGGGAGGTTCAGATGAAAAAGACTCCGTATCCCCTTTGATCTCATCCTTTAGATACTGTAGTGAGCCTATAGATGGTGGAAGCTGATTCGATAACAAGAAAGTAGACAATTATTTGGGGAGGACAAGTTTGCAGGGCTGTTGGGAGAGGACGGAGAGTGGGGTTGATTTGGAAGCTCTTTTCAAAGAGGTGGCACAAACCCGATTGGCCGAATGGCCTCCCTCTGTGCTGTATAATTCTATGATTCTATGGATGTGAGGTGCAGGAAGTGAGATGGAATGGGTTAACTGTGTTTGACCTTAATGTGATTTGGGTATTCAAAGTGATGTGCAGCTGCTTTCTATCACTGGTACAAGGTATGATGGGATCGTTTACAGGATATTCCACAGGACTGATCAGGAACTGAGAAACGAAGAGCACAGCGGTGATTTACAAGTGTTCTATCTGCTGGTAGAATGCTAGAAAATAATCTGATTTATGAACGCAGAACATCCTCCAATGCCTTTAAAGATGGGAAAGCACGCTCACCGGGTTGAAGTGGAGCACATGGGGACATGAAGCAAGCAGTTCTTGCTGAGTGGGAGGATTCCCGTAGGGTAGTGGTTAGCTCGCTTGCCTCGCAAGCAAGAGGACCCGGTTCAATTCCCGGGTGGGACGAAACATTAAGCAAGTTTCCTCACTCCACACGCCTCTGTTTACCATCGGAACCTAACCAGGTTAATCGATTACTGGATCCCTTTCCGGGAGTAATAATCCCTCAAAAAAAATTGGTCACTCAATCCTTGACTGTTTGTGGAGCATTTCTGTGTGCACTTGGCTGCTGCGGTTCACCCACAAAATACACAGTCACTCCGCTTTACTGTATATTCTGTGAAGAGCTTTGATATGGCGCGGTATCAAATGCAAGAACTATTATTATTAGGTGCTGTCAACGTTGCAGTGCTCTCCCAGTACTGCACTGTATGTGTGAGAGTTTTTTTGTGGGATGTTGGATGGGTTAAAAATTGCCCGGGAGTAAACAAATAAAAGAGAAAAGCGGTGTTTGGAACTCACTCTGAGATAGAATTTGAAAAATGTGAGATGGAAGGGTGACCTCCCTGAACTTGCCTATAGACTGTCTGAACTGACTTCCCTGGAGATGAGAGCTGCCGCACTCCTTTCCAAAGCCTTGATATATGATTCCTGAGGGTTGGTCACCGGTGACCACTTTTTAAACGAGAATACATGAATTGAGGATTATCATCAGTGGGTGAAAAAGGGGGAGGTTGGAAGAAATGATAATAATAATTTCGCCCACGAAATATACAGTCAATTCAATTTACAGTGTATCCTGTGAAGAGCTTTGAGACGTCTCATCTGAAAGATGGCTAGAGTGTTTGCCTACAAGAAATACAACAACAACAAAATTACATTTGTTTGGTGCCTTTGGTGTTTGGAGGGCGTCCCAATAGTAACTACACATGGCAGTAGTTGCCTTTCAATGCTATAGGCACTATAAAAATGAGAATTCTTCTTATCTCTCCACCCCAGTATCAATCCACCAAATACTTTAATGATCCAAACTTGAACCAATTATACAGAGAGCACTACATCTCTCTGACCACATCTCGAGTGAGCAGCCCCGCACATGGTTGTCAGCGAGAGAATTTACGAGAGAATGAAAAGCTAACACCGGGTATAAATAGATGATCTATCTGCATATCCTCTTATGGCTTAAATAGGATAGACACTTAATACGGCTTGGGTTAATAAAAGGAGCAATTCTCACTATAGACAAAAACAATCTCTGGTTGACTTATTTCAGTTTGTTAGTTGTGAAAAGATTATCCGGGGGATTGCTGAGAAACTCCGTTCCCTTTTCGTCATGGGAAAACAAAATAATAATAATTTGATCATTTAATGCACGACTGTTTGCGCGACACTGCTTTGTGCAATTCGCTGCTGTATTTTGCCCACAAAATATATAGTCAATTCCCTTTACAGCATATTCTGTGAAGAATATGCTGTAAAGGGACTTCTCAAAGACGTGATCTGGCGCTATATCAAATGCAAGGATTATTATCATAATTATTTTCATGAAGAACGGTCAGGCGGGGATTTTAGTATAGCATCTCGTCCTTTGCGTATGTAGAGAATTCTCCTCAGCCCTGGATGGAGCAGTCAGAGGAGCAAAGTTATGTAAATTACGTGGGTGGTTTATTTGACCACATGTGTGCAATATTTGTGGAATTCAAGTAGTTGGAGGAACGCTGTTATGCATAAGAAATTCCTGTGAGTCTTTTGTGTTTTGGCACCGCTTAACGTCAAACCACTAGACTCCCCCGTTTAATTGGCAGGCGCCGCCGAGCAGATGTCGGGGCATAACAATTTGTACCATTTTGACCTTGTTTTGTATTGACTTCTTTATGACATGGCCATTAACCTGCATTAAACACCCACAGTCTCCAATATACTCCCACCTTGCTTTGTCTGTCCCACAGGTCCCCAGTGGGCAGTCGCTAGTAATTATGCCTGAATTGCGAATGAGCCTTATATCAGGAGTCAGTGGCTGTGGGTTAGTGTGGAGTCCTGTAGGAAGAGGACTTGAGTTCGATTCCAGGGCTGGGTGAAATCTTGGGCAAGTTTCCTTACTCCACACACATGCCTCTGTTTACCATGCGGTAAGTAGGAATCCTCTAAACAGTTAGCAATCTGCTTGTTGAAACGCTCATTGCTGGAAATTAACAGATGGCTTTCACATTGACTGCAGTACTATCACAAACATGACGGCTTCCCAGAAGCGTACACTAAACTTGAGGAATGACTGCATCGTGCATACACTCATCCAACTATTTTCCCCGATATAACACACAAGAACCTCCCCCACCCCTTGATTGATTATTGCACAGCAATGTAATGTGGGAGACTCCTTGCTCATAATCAGCCATCTTTCCATCCCCAACCAACCAACCTCAGGTACCTATCCAATACCATGAAGCATTTATATAGTGCCCTTTCACACGGGGCTGCGTCTCGGAACACTTAACTGACAGAGCCTGTTGCCGAGCAGAGGGGAGGGAGGGTGACCATAAGCACGGTCGAAGAGGAAGATCTTCAGTCATGATCTAAAAGAGAGGAAGTAGGGAGGGGGCAAGGCAGAAGGATTAGGGGGAGAGCGTTCCAAAGCTTCGGGGTGTAGTGGCTGAAAGCGAAGATGCACTTTATGATGGCCTCCTGATGCGAAAGGCGCTGCGTAAATTACTAATTGTAATCACTTCACAGTAATTGTTTCGGCCCCACCAGTACAAATTGGGCGTCTTTGTAATTTTTTTCATAAAAGCGGGCCTAAAATTGACTCGCCCTTTATAACATTTTCCGTCGCTTCTTCCTTCCTAACCCGCACTGCACATTGTGCACTGGCTGAAACACAGACCAGATGGTTCCAATAAAATACAGCCTTCCTGGACGGGGCCTCATGCACTATTTATCTCCAATCCAAGCTCCACATTAGTGAAGAATTTGTCATTCTGGCAGTGGCAAGACTTCATTCTTTTCGCCAAATATGGTATGAGGGCAAACAGCCAAGACAAACCCATCAATTAGATCCCAGACTTGTCTTAACAAAAAAACATGTTAACGGTTTAAATGCTGAATTTCTTTTAAACTGGGTTCTGTTAAGGTAAATGGGGAGACGGGGGCGGGGAGTGGGGTGGGGGAAGTGGTCAGTGAGTCGTTGTGTAGAGGGCA